GGAATGAAAAGCACACTCCATACTGGTTACAGAAGAATCCAGCTTACACATGACCAGAGCTGCCAGGCAGCCATGCAGAAACCCAAAAATCAATAGAACTTTTAATGAAAGTGCCCCAGGGAGCTCCTCACCTATTTTTGGGGTAGGTACAGGTGCAACCCCCAGTTAAGTGCTGCAGCTGGAGAGAGGTACACAGTGCTTTCCACGTGAGGGATGCTGTCAGCAGCCCAGTACAGCTCTGCCCTGCCATGCAGAAACATGGCTCATGCAGGGCTCTCCAAAGGAATAACAGGGAGTTATTCTGCTCCAAGAAACCGCTAGCGAGAGCCTAAGCTGCTCACTGCTTGACCTGAACCACAGGGGGAACGCTGAAAGGGACAGGCTAGGTGCAACGCATCTGGAGCCAGAAGTCTACCCTAAAGCTCCGCACAGCTTACGGCTGTTACAGCAGGGCAAAGGCTGAGTTCAGCCACGCACCTGCCAAGCTGCAAACAATGCCAGAGTATTGTCTAAATGTCACCCCTGGGGTCATGGGGTATTCATGGGGAGCCCAGGAGGGCCTAACCTGCAAGAGATGTGCTAGAGCCCAGCTGCAGCACAGGTCTGACAGCTTTTAAGGTCAGTAATGCTGTAGGAATAAAAAACAGCTTCTGTCTTCTTTTGAGAGCCCAAGGAAGGCTGGGTGAAAGAGGGCCTGGGCTGTAAATCAAATGCTTTCAGGCTGGTGGTAGGTGGCTTGGGAGCCCTTGGCTTAAGGGGGAACTCCTGCAGAAGACTCCAGTTGAAGATGACTGATGAACTGCATAGGTTTTTTTTGTCCCCAAAGCGCTGAAGCCATCACAGCACAGGCTGAGTTGTTCTGTAGAACAGAGGCCAGACCAGCCACCTGAACATTGAAACTCTAAACACAAAATCCATTTGTTATTTTTGCAGTGCTTAACATGTCTGTGGCAGTGAGACAAGTCCAAGGTCACCACTCCAAGATCCTTAGAGACCAAGTTCAGTGACCTGTGACTTTCTGGGGTGATGTCTGCTGCCAGTGCTGTGACACAGCAGTGCTGACGTACACAGAGGAACAAGCGGACTCCTGAGCTTGCACTTTAGCAGTGGGCGGTGAACATGGACGCAGTTCTCTTGGTGCGATGTTGCAACAGGGAACACCAACTCAGAAATTACTATTCAAGGTGCTTAAAATAAAAAAGCACCTTCGTCTCAGCAAGGGTGGTGCCCCAGAACAGTAAGGGCAGGGGAAGCATTTAAACTGTTCATTAACCTTCAGAAGAACAGAGTGCAAAGTTCAAGGTTTCATGTGTCATCCAGCAACAGCACGGAAGAGATGAACTTCTAGGATCTTGGGCAACAAGCACTCAGAATTTATTTTAAGGACTTTGCTTCAAAGACAAGGGCTGCAGCGTGCAGGCAGACCAGGGCACTGCAGAGGGGTATCTGGGCCAGGGCTGTTACCTTTTGGGTAAGGTGAGCAGCATTCTGGTTTACCCTCCCTTCATCTCCTGCCTCCCAGCACTGCTTTTGGCCGGGAGCCCCCACCTTGTTCCCTGCAGGGATTTCGCTGCCAGGTCTGCAGTTGCATCAGCCTCCATGGCCGAGGCCAGCAGCAGCAGGAGATGCCTTCGCTGCAACCCCAGTTCTAGGAGAAACTTGGCAGAGGCCACCCCCATGTGACAAATCCTATGCTACAGGGTATCACAGTACACATACAGCCTTGTTTGGGCCAGCAGCGGGATTACAGCCCTGGGCCACCCGCATTCGAAGCAGTGGTTGCTGCTGCTTGGAGTTCAAGTCCTGATTTGGCACCTCGGCCAGTCTCATGCACAGGAGAGCTGGGACCTTGCACGGGGACTCTGAGAGCTCGTCACAGCAAGAGAGGCGCTGCTTAGTCAACAGGCAACACCAGGAAAAGGAGAGAGCCTCCAATCCTACCCCAAATAATAAACGGAATCAATACTTGGCACAAGCCCTGGCAACCCTTTTCCTCATGAGCGCTCTGATCGTGAGCTCGACTCTGCCAGCTGCCAGCTCTCGGGCACGCACGCTCCTCTTCTCTGTAGCTCCGTGCAGCTCTGCTCTGCAGTCTGGCATCCCAGCCTGGCTTCAACAGGGAGAGGGCAAGCACCTGGCCCCAGCCTGGCTTGTAGACCCCTCCTGTAACAGCACAGCGGGGAATGAACACACTTCACCCCACCCCAGCTGGGGACAGCAGGGACAAGAGGCTCTCCCACACGCCAGGTAGATAATGCAGGCTCAGATACTGCCCAAGGGGTGTCGGACACATCGCCTCTCCCACCAGCAGCAGCCTGGTGTAAGCTAGGTGCTGCCCCAGCTCTCCCCAGGAGCCTCTCCTCTGGCTGTGTGTTTTTAGCCGCAGTCAGAGCCAAGCTGCTGGTCCACAGACGTGGCTTCAGGCTGTGACTGAACAGCAGAGGTCCGGCTGGTGTGTCACCGCCCTGCTCTGACCCTCGCTCGGGTCAGCAGGCAGAGGGGAGGCAGCGTGGTGCGTGCCAAGGTGCCATCCTCACATGGACCCAAGGCAGAGCGTGCATCCAAGGACATGCGGGACCTGGGATGCTTTCCAAGTCTCATTTTGGGAATGAATAACAGGGCGTAATCATTGATACCCGATAGTACAGGCAAATAGAGACCAGACGGCTTAGCAGCGCCGGCTGGGCCTGCCTGCGGGTAAGCTGGGTTGTTCCCAGACACTGTCTCCAGCAGAAAATACACACTGTGAGTCAAGCACATCCCACACAGAGTGCAACACGGGAAGAGAGCAGTTCCACGAGCCGGCAGTGCGCTGCTGACAGCGGGACAGAGCCACTGACCCGCTCAGACACTTTTTTGCCTCTGGCGTTGTTCCAAGCAGCCAGCACACATCCGGGTGCG